TTCCTTCCCTCTAGCCCCCGACAAATTTTAACAAAACTCAAATTCTGTCATAAATCAGCAAAATGACTGGTCAGATTTCCAGTAGCCTGAATCAGTATTGGTTGTTGCTATATAGAGAAAGACAGGCTCTGTGTTTTTATTTTATTAAAGCTCATTTTAGAAAAAAATATGATAGTGGACCACATTCTGCTTTCTGTTCCACTCATCCTGCCCCATCCACTTTCATGTATACCAATAATGGCAGAATATGGGCCCCCTGACTGAGTTTAATATGCAAAGAGCCTCTTAATTCTTAGTATGTGGCTTAAAGTTCAAACTCAGAACTGTTTCAGAGCAGTGGGCTTGCACAATGAATCTGGGGGCAGAATTTGTCCCCAGCAGATCTTATTTAAATTACTACTTAATGATTAGTGTGGCTTAATGTTCAAATATTACAGGTACATTCCAAAGCAATTTTTAACATTTGGAATGAATGCAGGCTCTGGATAATGACTATTAAATATGTTTGAAATGTCATATCTGTTTTGTCTTGTGGTTCTCCTAGTATGCTGTTCTGATTCATAGGGGAATGAGCTAAGTGTATCAAAAGTGACACAGACTCATTTTGTGTACCCAGCTAATGGGAAAGAAGTTGCCCTGTAGACACTCGATGTACCAAAAAGAAATTCATAATGCATATGAGTTGTGCTGTGTAGTGTTGCCAGTGCCAAATTTGCTGCTTTCTAGCTGCAGGCAATTTTATCAGCTGAAGAGAGGTGGCTGCTGATAATTGGCAAATAACAAAAACAAACTTCCAATAATTGATCCAGTATAGCTGTATATTTTGATAACTGCAGAAAAATGCCCTCTGCACAAGGTCACTGTGAACTATTTCTCAACCCACTATTGAGTTGTGTCACAGAAACAATTTCATTTTATGCTTATCATGAATTTGTGTTGCTATCAATTAGGTGAGTTCAGCAATACTCAAAATCTGAAATTGATTTTAACAAAAAGTGACATTTCAGGAAGAATATTAGGTTAGGACAAAACCAAGGATAATTTGATTTACAATTCATGCTTTAAAAGACAACTAACTTTCAGTG